AGGCCTGAGGAGTTTACAGAAGAGGTTAGATGTGTTCCTTTGGCACTTTCCCAAATATGCATATAGACCTGTGGGAATAGTGTCTAAAGCCATGCTCAAGACGGAGAGACGCTAGAAAAGCGTCCTTCCCTTTCCTCCCACTTCTCCTCATACTCTTCAACCCTGCAGTGACTAAACTCAAGAACCCATATAGCTCCAAGAGGTGGCTTTATCAAAGGTCACTTCTAGAAGACAGTTCTTCCTGAAAACCAACAAAAGGACATTTATATAGGGATTATTTTGCCCAACATAAGTTGGGCATTGGGATTTACTCTTCACTACCCAGAAATATTTACTAAGGTGCACATACAGAACAATGGCTAGACAATCTGGACTCACTTAACAGGCAAAGAATAGCTCCCTCTCTGCACCACTCCCGCCCTCCTTGCAGTGGGCAGTGGGTATTCTCTCCAAGTCGTCATTGCCACAATGCTACCATTCCTTGGAAGTAAAAAAATATATATATATTTAAAAGGTAGTAATTTAACCCTTGGCTTTTACTACATGTTCACTTTTAAAAATCTAGAATGACTAGATGATTCCAAGAAGGACTTAAGTTTCCCACTCTTTGCACAATAGCACTGAATAGATTTCATACATGTACTCGACAAGAACTATAATTTTAAAGTATCTTCTAAATAGGAACCCTCTGGTCAGGGAGCCTTCCCTTCCCATCTCTACCAACATAGCAAACAGATATATGTATATGCAATATTTAGAGGACACTTGAATTTCACTTCCTAAGTACCCCTACCCCCTGTGCTAGGGATCAAACTTGGGATCTTATACTTGCCAGGCAGGGGTGGTGTCACTAAGCTACATCCCCAGCCCCCTAAGTGTTTTTAAAATAATCTTTCTATGAATTCTAACAGAAAGTGGAGAAACTATAGTTTTCCAACTCTACTTTCGTCATACATTGTCAACCTCTTTAATGTCCAGAGACTAGATATTATAAAACTGGGACTCATTTGTCAAGTATATACACAACATATGCAGCCCAGCAAAGTTAAATGAAATGCATGTAATGAAAGGACAATGGGTAAACTGAGAGTTTTAGTATATGCTCACAAACACCTTTTGCAATTTCTTCTCTGCCAGTTCCCTCAGTGAACAAGTACAGACCACACATACTGTTCACAGAGGTGGTTTACAGTTTTGTTTCCTAATACGATATTTCCATCGATTTTTAAAAGCTATTTGTAAAAGTGTTTATTCCATCAATACTACTTTTAAACATATCAAGCACTTCTAAATGAACTGGATTTTTCAGAAAGAACTTGTCCACTGTATACACAACACTGATAAATAAAATTATACACACAGCAATGGCTATAATCTGAGGTACCTGCTAAATATGATCATTTTTCTTTGAACCATTTCCTCCTCACTTCCTCCTCCCTGCTTCCAAACTTGTAGACAAGGACAGGCCTATGTGATGCTTGGAGACAGTTGAACAAATTCATATCCAAAATTCATTTACAGAGGACAAACTTTCTTATGAATCCCAGTACAAATGTATAAGATGTGCTAATTTTATGCAATATTTTGTCATACACTGGCAATCTAACATCTGGGGGTTAGATGTGGCAAAGTTTGAACTACCCATAAAACATGCAGGAAAATGATATCTGAAAATGTCCAAGTACAAGCACACTAGCATCTTACCTTTGCCATCGTTCCTTGCCTCCACTGAACAAGTGCACATGGTACACTATTGCTTCCAGAGGTGGTTTAACAACTCCATTCACAAAAGACAAGGTTTCATATGAATTTCAGTAAGAAGATATTTACAACATGGTATTTTACAACTTCTACACTTAACATATGTCAGGCACTTTCCATAAGAGTAGAAGTTTCCAGTAAGGACTTCAGTTGTTAAACTTCAGTTCAGTTAAACTACGCACAGCAGTTTAAATAAATGGCACACATGTGACAATAGTCACAATTTGAAAGTGTCTTCAAAATATGAGGATTTTGGCCTAGAACCTTTCTTTTCTCCACCAACCCAGTGGGCACAAAGGCTCACATTTTGAAAAGACAATTGTTCCTAGAGAGTCTCAGAGGACTCTTTAAAGCCAGGACAAAAGGTTCAGTATCTAATAACAGTGGACTTAATTGCCTCATGGTTCATCAGGGACAGACTTACTCATACTTGGGGAATCAGGACATTCTTAGAGTTACTTTCTATAAATAAGTTTACTCTGTACTCACCAAAAACAGTCTGTGTGGCTTATTTTTCACTATTCTTTGTAAATTTTGCAGTCCTCACCCTGCCCCAAGGTAATTACAAAGAGAACTTTGGGAAATTCTATTTATTTGGCTTTTATGCCCCCAGATATTCTCCCATCCCCCATCACCATGCCCAGAATGAAGCTTCCAAAATGCAGATGTGGCCGTGCCCATCCTCTGTTGGCAGCCACTCTGCTTTCCTTCTAGGATTAGCAGGCCTCAGAGCCCCTGGAGTGGCTGGGTGGCCTCCCATTTCCCCTGAGCTACCCAACAGGGGCAAGCAGCCCTGCAGTTAGCATTCATGCCAGCCATGCCTGGGGCCCCTTTCTTCCTTGCCTCTTGCTGGTCCTCTTTGGAGAATACCCTCCATTCTGCCACCGTGTCTCAGCAGATTCCCGGTCCCTCTTCAGGATTCAGTTCAGTCTTCATTGCTCCTGCGCCTCTTCTTTCAGTACTTCAGCACCTCCCCATCCTCTCAATAACCTGGGCACGATTTTGTCATTGTGTTTCATTGTGCCATGTTATGGTTTAATTTTCTCTTTATGTCTTTGTTCCTTCGTGGGTCTACTCACCTATTTTCAGCTGCTGGGAGATAGGCTAGCAACAGCAGACACCCAGTAGTGTTTCTGAAATAAATGCATAAATGAAAGATGCTTGACCTGCCAGGACTGGTCTCTGCAAAACTTCTAAGAATCCGAAAGGCGGCAGCATCTGGCTAGCCATAGGAGCAACACGCAAGGTCACAGTTACTACAGGAGAAATAGCTGTTCCCTTTCACTTGTGCCTTGGGACAGTTTTGCAGCTGTCTTGTTGTTTTCTCTTTTCTAGCACAATTCAGGAAAATGAAGCCAAAGTGGAACATTTTGTTCTTGGTGGAGGCACCAAACCCTGAAATCGTGGACCTGACCAGCATCCATTATGACACACATCTTCTCACTTCGTCCTTCAGGGGCTAGGAACTGCTTAAGAAATGAGAGAAATTGCAGAGAAAGGGTCTAATCAGTAGATGAGTTATTTTTCTAGCTTATAGCTTCATAGACTGACTGAGTTATTGGGGAAACTGATTAAATCTCCACTGTGACCTTCTTTTTTATACTTTAGTTCTATTATTCATGTCTAATACTATTGGATGATCCCATTCTCCCATTTTACATGTTTCAAGTATTCCACATAATGCCTCACCTGTAGCTTCTAAAGAAATCTACATTGCAAGAATGTTTTAGAAAGGGAAAGGAAAGAAGGGAAAGGAAAAATTATGAGCAAAGAGAAAAAATGGAAACCAAGTCTATGTAAATAGGGAAAGGTGGAGGGGGTGAAGGGTGCACAGGTAATGGGGAAAAAAATAAAAACCAGGATACCTCATGTACAGGTGCAAACACCCAATGATAAACGTAAATGTACCGTATACCTAAAATGTACCAATAAAAGAATTTAAGGAAGAAAAAAAGAGAATGTTTTAGTTCAGTGATCCTCAGCCTTTATTTTGGAGTTGCTATAAAGCTTCATTTTCTATTCCATCTGTCCTTATTTCAGTGAGCTTTTAATTGGGTAAACCAGAAATTTGAATTTTCACTATATATAGCAGTGCTCATGCTGAATGATCACTGTTTATTGATTTGTCTGGTGAACAGCTTGAGGGCAGGAGCTCAGCATGATCAAATTAGAATTTAAGTGAAGATGTTTTACTGAAGCTTTACTTCCCCCAGAGGTGTAGCCAAGGCAAATCACTCCAGCAAGGGGCAGTGCAGAATCCAGTGTCTTGTTGGCACAGGCAAATCTATAAAACCCAATGGCAGGGATTTCCTTTCTAGCACTAACAGTGCACCCCCTATTCCTTTTTTGAGATGTAGTCCCCTTCTGAACTTCAGATTGAGATCATTTGTCTAGCAAACAAAATTTAAAGCAGTACCTATTTTCTCACTGTTACTAATAAAGACTACATATTATTTATTGCTCAGCTTCTGATTAGCATAAAATAACTAAGGCTACTTGGCTGAGTTTATACAACCCTGGCCCAAAAAAAGAAGTTTGACCTTTGGTTATCCTTGGTGGCTTTACCAAGAAAAAAACATGCTTGCCCAATATTTACACTCACTCTTTGCTTCTGATAAAACTTTTTTAAAGCAGCAAGACTTTCTGAGATTGAGAACCAATGGAATAAGTCTTAAAATTTATAAGCTGGTGTTCTACAGGGGAATTAATGTTAATACGAAATTTGCAATTGACTTGTGTGACCACGATCTTCCTCCTTTGTAATATAAATGCATTGTGTATTTATATATGAATGAGATTCGTATCTTGAAGAGGCAAATTATTGGGACAAAAGAATCTGTTTTCCCTTCCCTAGTAGCCCATTAAAAGCTGAAGCACTCTTGGGTCTCTAAGCAGGGTATCAGGAACCACAGCCACACTTTAGTGTGAAGCTGAAGTGTGTGTGTGTGTTTTCCATTGAGCACAATTTCTTTCCCTGAGAAGAGAAAAATCTTGCTCAAGTTGCAACCTTTCACATTTTTATGGCACTACTTTTGAGTGGCTGTTTTGAGGCAATTGCTTTATAAGACACACATTGGATTCTGGGAACATATAAGGCTGAATAGTTGATAGACATAAGCTGTTAGGGGCCCTACATTAGGTAATATTGTATTTCAAATCTAGTATTGGCTGGTTCTCTCTTGAACTTTATATCTGAACATAGTAGTTTTTATCACTAACTATTAACTTTTAAAGTGTAGTTAATCTTGTGTATGATTAGCTTGGGTTTCAGCTATCTGAAGTTCAGAAATGTGGTAGGATTTATGAGGATAAACTTTGTTAGTTTTAATTAGTAGTCCCAAAGTGAGGCCCCAAGCTACAGTCAGAGATCCTTTGAAAGCAGGGGTGAGTACTCCCGGAGTTGGGAGGAATGTGTGGATGTGGGATTTAAGAAACTCTTCTCAGCTGCCTTACTACTTTATAGAACAAAAGTTATGTTAAAGTTTGTGAGTAGTGAAGGGGTGTTTGAAAGCAGCTGCAAAGCTCTCAACTGACTTGGCACTGCTCTCAGCAGGGCTAAAGGTGTTCCTTTGCCGTGGTCACAGTGGAGAGCAATATCTGCTGATTGTATATGGAGCTGGGTATCTCCACCATCTTGGCTTCAGCTGTTCAGTACATGAGCAAAAGGAACTGAATGCCAAAGTGGGCTTTTTTATGGCCCTTGCATACAGAAGAACTTAACTCCTTCTCCTAGCCAGGGACAAGGGCTTCACTAAGAAATGAGGAGCTCCTTGGGACTACAGAGACAGCAGGAAGCAATGCCTGTCCAAGAAGCAGGGACACGTGCACACTGCGTGGGTGGGAAGGGTAGGACAGGACAGGGGACATGTTCAGACGTCCTGAGAAGGAAAGAGGCAAAGTGAGAGTCGTCTCTTCCTCACAGGTGACACTCAGCTTCCTTTCTATAGACTGTACACTCCCAGGCCCCATCTTCTTGCTGGGCAGGGGGGCATCATGGACTGACATTCTCTTATGGGCAGAGGCAGCAGTAGCTCCCCTGAGAAGTAATGGAGAACTGTGAGGAAGAGGAACTTGGAGAGAGCTTCCTGAGCTTCATAGTCTCCAGAGCTGGGGAGGATCACACAGTTTGCAGTGAAATGCATGATGACACAGGCTCAGCTTCAGGCTGAGCCACTGAAGGGGGAGGCATTCTTCCACGTACCTTGTGAACATAATTACAGCCCTCACAGGCACTGTTGTGAGACCAAAAGGAAATCCATGTCGGCAAGAGGGCTCCTTTGCACACTTACTGTTATTATTTTAATTGTGCATATTTATGGGGCAGGTTGTTATAACTTGATGCATGTAAACAATGTATAATGATCAGCCACATCTTTTCTACCTGTGATGTCTATTTTTATGCGGTCCATCTTCGGGCTTAATTTATATGAGAACGCTCTCTCTTCAGACTCAAATGACAGCAAAACCTCTTGCCACTCTCCTCTTTATCTCTGTGTTCCCTAACTCCCAAGTCACATTCCACTAGCCCTGAGCCTCCTCTGTGACCCACTTGCATGTAAAATATTGAGATATTCACACTTTCCATAATAAGGCTGGAAGACTGCCCAAATTCTTCAATCTGAAAATAAGTTGAATTCAGCAAAACTAAAATACATACTTTTATGGGAAAGAAAACAGAATTAATGATACGTGGTGAGCAGGAGGCAACAACTGCTAAAGAAAAAAGTGTTGGAATTATAAACTGTGACAGCTGGAAATGACTCAAATTTCCTCGAATTTAACACCTTCATTTTATAGGTGAGGGAATAAAGTCAAAAGGCTGGCTGGTTCCAAGCAGAGCTGTGGTTTCTTCTCAGTTTCCTCTGCCCCTCATAGCAGCCGGTGTGCTTTTTCATCATTAAACATCAGGACAGATGGTATTGTTTTCTTCTGCTTGTTGTGAAAATGTCCTGGAACAAAGTTCATCCCATCAAGCCCAATAGTCTCTAATTTCTGGTAAGGAAGAGCTTTAGAAGCCATCCACTGGGCCCACCTCCCATCTGGTGTTGGATGTTTCCCTACTGCTGTCTGTCAAAAGGTTGTGTAATCTGTGCTAGAACATCTCTGAGCCTGGGAAACCATGAGTCATGTCCATAATTCTGCTCTACTATGGACAGCTCATCTGGAGAAATGGTCACTACATGAGACTCAGCTCTCTCGCTCCAGCTGCTCGCTTTGCCCTGACCTTGCCTCACAGGTCCTAGAAAACATTTTCAACACATGTCAGCTTCTTCTCAGATAGTTGAAGATGACTGTCTCTTGTCTTTCTCTGCCTTCAGCCCAAGGCTCCTCCTTTCCAGAGTAAATGCACCTGTTCTTTCAACAACTTGATTTCTTGATTCCACGCAGGATGCAAAAATGGTGAAATATTCCAACACTGCTTTTTTTCCCCTTAAATTCTTTTATTGGTACATTTTAGGTATACAGTACATTTACATTTATCATTGGGTGCTTGTACCTGTTCATGATGTATCTTGGTTCTTATTTTCCCCCCATTTCCTGTTGCCCTTCACCCCTCCACCCTTCCCTATTTACATAGACTTTGTTTCCATTTTTTTTTCTTTTCTCATAATTTTTCCTTTCCCTTCTTCCCTTTCCACCACCCCTACCCCTTTGGACCTTTTCCTATTTCAAAGTATCAATTATTCATTATTAATCCTTTTAATCCTTATTTACACTTTCAGTTTCTAACACTAGAGAAACTATTCGGTATTTACACGTGTGTCCTATTTATTTCACTTAAGACTATGGCTTCAATATGCATCCATTGGGCGATGAATGACTCTAGTTTCTCGTTCTTTATGGCTGAGTAGTACTCCATTTTATAAAAAAAACACATCTTCTTTATCCAGTTTCCAGTTGATAGGCACTTGGACTGTTTCCAAGCTTTAGTTATTACAAACTGTGCTGCTATGAACATGGGTGCACATATATTGCTGTGGTATGATTCTTTTAATTCTTTTGGGAAGATACCCAGCAGGGGAATAGCTGGGTCAAATGGGACCTCCAGCCCTAGTTG